GGAGGAAGATCCCAGAGGACAAAAACTGCTCAGGCAATGGTGGGATCAAGAAGCTGAGAGAGCCAGGCATGGTGGTGCCCACCTATAATCCCAGCAACCTGGGAGGCTGAGACAGGAGGATTGCAAATTCAAAGCCAGCCTCAGCAACTTAGTGAGGCCCTAAGCAACTTAGTGAGGCCCTGTCTCCAAAAATAAAAAGTTCTGGGATGTGACTCAGTGTAAAGTACCCCTGGGTTCAATTTCCCAATACTCCCTCCCCTTCAATAAAAAGAAGCTGAGAGAGGAAGGGGCTGCAGGATGAACAACACTGCCAGGGCATGCGTACAGTGACACACCTCATCCAGCCATATCCCACTTGCTTACAGATACCACCCAGGGAGTCCATTCAAACTAGGATGGACTGATTAGATTGCAGCTCACATAAAGTACTCTTTTCCACCTCTGAATAGTTTTGCATAACAGGAGCTTCTGGGGGACATCTCATATCCATACCCTAATATCCTACCCCTGTTCCTAAATAGCTCATGTCCTTCTTACAGTACAAAATGCATTCAGTACATCTCCAAGAGTCCCATAGACTTAATGCCTCTGGCACTACCCCAAAGTTCAGTCTACATCCAATATCTTCTCTGAGATTCAAGGCAAACTCAGATGTCAGCCTTTGTAAAAAAAAATCCAAAACAGATTACATTATATCCAATATATAGTGTCACAAAATAAACATTGCCATTTGAAAAGGGAGGAATAAGGACATAGGTACAAGAGTTGGGGCCAAAGCAAGACTGAAACCCACTGGGCAAACAGGTCCCTTAACTCCACATACAGCATCTAGCATGCTTGGATACAAAATGATATTTCCAAAGGACTTGGGCAGCACTGCCCCTTTGTCCTTGCTGGTTTCACTACAAATGGGCTCTCTTTAACCTGGGTCTCTTCAGCCCCCGAGTTTTCTTGGCAGACCATCCACGTGGTTGGCGTCTCTTAATTCATAGGGTCTTCATTCCAGTTTCAGCTTCACATTTACAACTTCATGAATCAGCCTCCTGAACGTAGCCTGCAGGGAATCCAACCCTGCAACACTTTGCCTTGCTTACCAGGCATTCCTTTGAAATCTCAATGGATGCCTCCATGACCCCTTAACTCAAGTATTTTGAATTCCAGTAGAACCAACATCATATGGAAGACACTAAGGTCTGCTGCCAGCTCCTGCTCCCTGGGATAAGGCCTGCAGAGGCCTCTAAGTTACTGCAGGGCTTGAGCATGTTTAAACACTTCCTAAGCCCCCTGTATTAGCAAGTCACTCCCACAGTCTCAAAGGAATTTCATCTTCTGTAGCCTGGAACAGGTAGCAAGTGCAGTCTTACAAAGTCCTGAGATGCCTTATAGGCATTTGTCCTGCTTTCTCTGTGCATAGTACTTAGCATCTCATTAAGCACTATAATCTCTCCAACAAGCACACTACCTTGGTCCCAGGTTTACATGCACCATTCTGGCCAAGTGGAAGTTTTTAAACTCCTTTAGCTCTGCTTTCTGTTCATGATTTTCACAGAACCTGGCTAAACACAACCTACAATATCCATGCCACCAATCAAATGCTATGCTGTCTTAAAATTTTCTCCACAAGATTCATTAGCCCCTTACTTTTAAATTCAGCTTCACACAAATCTCACAGCAAAAATTCTTTGCCAGAATATACCATGAGTATCCCCTAGTCCAATTACCAGTTGAGTCCTAATATCCCTCTGAAATCTCATGTGCAACAGACGCCATTCTTGTTGGAATTCTGGTCTTCTGAACTCCCACCAGAATCACCCATTAAGTTCTGCTTACAATGCTCTACAGCTTTTCCAGTTTGCATCTCTAACTTTTTCAGTCTATATCCTGCCAACCAAAGGCTTCTGAACTATATGGTCAAGTTAGTCACAGAACAACTCCATTTATTGGTACCAATTTTACTTTCAATCACCTTTTGTATCACCATAACCAAAACACCCAATGAGAACAACTTGGAGAAGGAAAAGTTTATTTGGCTCATGGCTTCAGAGGTCTCAAGTCTCTAGATGACCGATTCCATTGCTCTGGGTCCAAGGTGAGGCAGCACAACATGGGGAAAGGGCCCAATGGAGAAAAGCTACTGAGCGGATGGCAGGGTCAGGAATCAGAGAGAGAGGGAAGGGCTGCAGGAACAACAACCATTACAGGGCATTCCTCCAGTGACCTCTCTTCTCTAGCCATACCTCACTGCTTGCAGTTGCCACCCAGTGAGTCTGGTCATACTGACGGATTACATACTCTCATAATGTATTCCTTTCATCTCTGAATATCTTTGCATTAACAGAAGCTTTTGGAAACACCTCATATTCAAACCGTAACACCCTTTAGCCCTCTGAAACCTATGTTGTAAGAGAACCAAAGTGAAAACTTTACCCAGCTAGGCAGGATAGAGTCTCATTTTCGGTTTATATGGAAGTGAGACTATCTGTACAATACTCATGTGAGCACCATTTTATCAATGAAAAATCATTTGGACCAGATGTTAAACTAAAGGACAAACCTCTGGGTTTCATGTGAGATAAACATACTTGGATTGATTTGGTTTTCTGTATATGGTCTTTTAATTAGTCATTTGATGCTAATTTCCCCAGGGAGTAGGTCATTAATAATTATTACCTTTGTATCTCAACTAACTCTGTTGAAGTCTTGTAAAAAATTGCCTATGTATTGATTGTTTCATTCAGTCTTGAAAGCCACCCTTTCTTCTAGGCTTGCAGGTATGAACCTCATTTTATCATTTGTTGAATTCCCCCAAGGTCTTTAGTCATGCTATTGCTGGTTAATTATTTGTTTTCAAGCATATAAAGCATATAGCCTTTCTTATTTTTTTATTTACAAGGTCAGCATACTTCTGTCTGAATATGACAATGGTTCATGCAAAACCAAATACAGGAAATATTCTACTTCACTTTTACAGTAGTTTCTGTATTTTTCAAAACTTTTGGAAAAAATCCCACAACAATGTTTCTACCAGTTGAGTGCCTATCAAACTTCAAGTCCTGCAACCTACCACTTCTACCAATATTAAATCCATTTTTAACTTGTTATTGCTTCATATAATAAAGTCTTCCTCACAGAGTTTTTGGAATGTTTAGACATTATATATGTGGTATGCTGTGTACATGTTTTATTTTCATTCCAAACCAAGTCCCTCCTCTGTGTTGCAATGGTAGGACCTCTCTGGGGAAGCTGTTTTATTTTTTTGTAAAGTTTCAGACAGACTTGTTTCCACCACTGATGGAGTATGAGAATCATGTGCATTTAATAGTTATACTTCTGATTACCTGATTGTTTTCTGCACTTGTCTGTAGCCTCCATGAGTCCAAGGTGGATCTATTTGTTCTAGATATTGCCTGTATTTGCCAGCTTGGTGATTGATCAGTGACCCCTCCTCCTGAATTTGGTGGTCATAGTTAAGAAGTTCCCAGAGTTGGCATCGTTTCTCAGTGTCAGAGAGGAAATTAGAGGCCATAGATAAAAATAGTTGGAAGCCAACAGTTGTTCTCCCTTTGGCTGCATTCTAAACTGGGCAGGGACAATCCCCTTGGTGGAAAGAGTTTTCTACCACCCCACTCGAAGGAGGAGGAGGAGGAGGGGGAGGAGGGGAGGAGGAGAAGGAGGAGGTAGGCAGGGGGTGGGGAAGGAGGAGAAGTTGTTTGAGGAGAGGAATAGGGAGGATGTAGAATATCCCCAGGAAACAAGAAACCACAGACCACACCACAGTTGGCATATTATGACCTTTCTTTACAAAAAAAAAAAAAAAAAAGCAAAAACCTAATAGTAAAATACTTAAAATGCTTTGTTTCTCTATGGGACTGTAAAGAAAGGGTGGAGGTGGAAGTGAGTGGTAGAAATGCTCCAGGTTGACTATCTAGAAGGATCCCAACATATAGCAGCAGACAGGATAGCAGCAACCTGCTCTCAGATTAACCCATTCAGAGAAAATGAAGTAGCCATTGTTTTTCTTATATTTGGAAAAACAGAAAGATGCTGTACATTATCATAAGGGTAAGTAAAAAATGAATGTGAATAAGAGCAGGAAAACTGAATGTCTATTACAAATAATAATTCACTTTATTTCCATTTGAAGGGACTTGAAGAAAAGCATAATGGGCACAGGAAGCTTAGTCTGGGGTGTGGTGACATAGAAGTTTGTTGTCTGCCTGTGACATCACAGAGTTCCCACTAATTTATATACCTGCTGGACAGAACATCCTGTTCCTGTTCTCCCTCCCACCTTTAAATGATTTGCCAGTTCAGTTCTTTGCGTCTCTGTTCAACCTCCTCTTTGTATAGATAAAGCCTTCTCTACACTTTCCTAAGTAAAATTAAGGTGTAGGAGGTTGCCCATCTCTGGCTCAGCTCTGCGAATGGGTGTTGTTTTGAGTGTGTGTACAGAGGTCTCCATTCATTCAGGAATCACTTGTACATATTTCTTGGAAGAAAATAAATTATATAAAATAGGATAAAACACTGTTAGAAGGGAGGAGAGGAGAGAAAAAGAATACCTTCTTTATAGAGTCATGATACTATGTAAAACCTCCTAGAATGAATTTTGGTTGTCTAGGCAACGTACATACATTCTGGGCTAAGATGTTATGATGAAAGAGGACGATGACATGGTTAATAATAACATTTTATGTTATTGAAAAAACATAAAACATTGGGGGCTACATAGTAAGAACTATGTGAGTCTATAGGGTGTCCTAACTGAGGTGAATTCAGGGTGAATTATCTAGCTTCTACAGAATATCTCTTCAAAACATTAAAGCATGAGGGGCTGTATCATATGAACTATCTGAATCTATAGAGTGTCTTAACTGAGGGATTCTTCAGGGTGAATTTTCTTGTTTCTACGGAAGTATCTCTTCTTGGGTGCCTGCTCTCCAGGCCTCTCAGTGTTCCCTCTTCCCCGAACACAGGGAAAAAAATACTTCCTGAACCATTTGCCAATGGATCGGAAATTCAGACAATCTGTAGCCTCAGTGTCGGTAGGAATCTCTCTCTCCACCGGTTGCTCCGGTGACCCTGAAGGATCCTTTTCAGGACAACTCTCCTGGCTTGTTATCTGCCAAGAGAAAATGGATGAATTAGATCTAGGTAATGCCAGTAGCAGTGAAGTCATTATTTACTCATTTATGGAAATCTAATTTATTTTTTACTAAGAATAGCCTAACTGTAAATGCAAAGTTTCAGTACTTATTAATACTTAAAACACACACACACACACACACACACACACACACACACACACACACACACACTTGTATGATCATTAGTCCTTCTCTTTGCTCCTTCCCACTCTTGCCTCCCCCGCTCAGTGCTCCTTGGCATTTTCTCTACACCTCTTTCCTGGCTCCTTTCCTTACTGTAGTCTCTCTCCCATTGCTTATCTCCTCAGACACTGGGATCCACATCTGCTTCACATGAGGTACCATGACTCTATGCTGGCTAACCTGGCCCTCCACCAGGCCTATTCCTTGCTCTGCAGTGATGCGGCTTGGTGCTCACCTCAGGATTTTCTTCTTCATCAAGCCTAGAAGGTACTTTTAGAAACTGGTCGCTGTGTTCTTTCTCTGGTGCTTCCCACTCTAATATATCATCAGAACTTTCATTTTCTTCAATACTGTCCACACTTACATGGGAAGGACTG